ATGACCTTCACCCATATTCAAGGTCACAGGGGTCAAATATGTTCAAAATATTTCAACAACTTGTTCTGAATAACCAAAAGGCTCAGGATGTTGATATTTAGTCAGTAGCATATGCTGGGATCAAGGACTACTTTGTTTGTTAAAGTGAATGACTTTGACTTATATTCAAGGTCACAGGGGGCAAATTTGTTTAAAATCTTTAAACAACCTCTTCTGAATAACCATGGGTCCCAGGATGTTTATGCTTTGCAAGTTACATCCTGAGATGAAAGGCTATACAATGTGTTCAACATAATGACTTTGTTGGACTTTCAATCACAGGGGTGAAATGTTTAAAAAAAAAATAACAGGGTCTTTTGAATGAATTTTAATCATAAATACTGATATTTTGTCTGTTATTTTAGATCACTTTTAAGGTTACAAGTGTGAGTTTTATACCAGGTGAGCGATGCAGGCCCATTGGGCCTTTTGTTTTGCCTCAAGCTCAAACTGATACTGTTGCGCTTTATTCACAATTTTGATTGGTGTTGGATTCACATAAACCATTTTCATCAGAAATGCTGATTTGTTGTTCTCCTAGGAAAATTCAAAGCCACTGGATAATTTTTAAGTCATTTTCACAATGGAATTTTCAAGGAATTTGATAACATATTCATGAGTTTTTCTGGTTTGTGCTATCTCGCTGGTTCGGTAGCTAAATGCTTCTTTCGCATGCAAATTGTGGGAAACAGTCCTTGAATTAAAGATTTTGTGAATTTCCATCTCGGGCTTGGTGATGGTGTGTAGGCTGTGACATTGTAACCTGATATAAGACTTTGTCATACTGCAAAGAAAAATGTCGCACGGTGATTGGTTGAATTTCCAAGGTACCTGAAGCTATGTTAGTATCCTTGCCGGGGTACATAAGAGCATGCGCGCCTGTTGTAAGGGAGATAACTCGAAGATTCAAATTGAACACACCGGAGAGCGTTCGTCTGCTAATGTCAACAATCAACAATATGGCGAAACAGTTTGCAAGCCACACAGAGAGTGAAATACAGACAAAACGGGCTAGACTTATACCTACAAACACAAAGAGATGTATTTAATGTTGTTTCAAAACAATATTGTTGACTTATTATAATTTAAAAATTTATTAAATTGTTGGAATTATACAAAAATAGTTTTTTCTGTTTTCCCATACTACCGCCCTACACAGTATCTGTTTTCTGGCAAACACGAGTCCCAACCTATAAATGGCTTTGCAGTATGACAAATTCGTTGTATAACTAATAATATATGACCAGGTCACAGTATATAGGGTTATTTTCTGTAGCCAGCATAGCAGAAACCATCTGAATGATTGGCAAAATTTCTTTTTGTTGAGCATTTATCTATTATTCTGATCGTGTTTCTTATCCCGAGTTGGAAGTAGATTATTCAGGCCAATTACACACAGCTTTCTATGTGAGCAAATCAGGTTTCATTAGTGACACGTTGGGAAGTCCGGAGATTGGTTCTGGCAGACTGTGTGTGTGGTGCCGGTAACACTGCCTGTTAATCATCTGACCCTATTGATTCATAAATATGCTTCACAAAGTCCCACTGCCATGGTACCTCACACAATCTGACTGCCATTGTGCCTTGCGTAGTCCCACTGCCATCATGTCTCTGTGCTTCACACTGTCATAATGCCATCATGCCCCACACAGTCTTGATGCCACTGTGTTGTACACTGTCCTGAAGCCACTGTGCTCCACTGTCCTAATGCCACTCTGCTGTACACTGTCCTGATGCCACTGTGCTGATGCCGCTGTGCTGTACACTGTCCTGAATCCACTGTGCTCTACTGTCCTGATGCCACTATGCTGTACACTGTCCTGATGCCACTGTCCTGATGCCACTATGCTGTACACTGTCCTGAAGCCATTGTGCTCTACTGTACTGTACACTGTCCTGATGCCACTGTGCTGATGCTGCTGTGCTGTACACTGTCCTGAATCCCCTGTGCTCTACTGTCCTGATGCCACTATGCTGTACACTCTCCTGATGCCACTCTGCTCCACTGTGCTGACGCCACTGTCCTGATGCCACTATGCTGTACCCTGTCCTGAAGCCACTGTGCTCTACTGTCCTGCTGCCACTATGTTGTCCCCTGTCCTGAAGCCATTGTGCTCTACTGTCCTGTACACTGTCCTGATGCCCCTGTGCTGTACACTGTCCTTAAGCCACTGTCCTGTACACTGTCCTGAAGCCACTGTGCTCCACTGTGCTGATGCCGCTGTGCTGTACACTGCCCTGAATCCACTGTGCTCTACTGTCCTGATGCCCCTATGTTGTACACTGTCCTGAAGCCATTGTGCTTTACTGACCTGTACACTGTCCTGATGCCACTGTGCTGATGCTGCTGTGCTGTACACTGTCCTGAATCCCCTGTGCTCTACTGTCCTGATGCCACTATGTTGTACACTGTCCTGAAGTCATTGTGCTCTACTGTCCTGTACACTGTCCTGATGCCCCTGTGCTGTACACTGTCCTTAAGCCACTGTCCTGTACACTGTCCTGAAGCCACTGTGCTCTACTGTACTGATGCCACTATGTTGTACACTGTCCTGAAGTCATTGTTCTCTACTGTCCTGTACTCTGTCCTGATGCCACTGTGCTGTACACTGTCCTTAAGCCAGTGTGCTGTACACTGTCCTGATGCCACTATGATGTACACTGTCCGGAAGCCACTGTGCTCTACTGTCCTGATGCCACTATGCTGTACACTGTCCTGAAGCCATTGTGCTCTACTGTCCTGTACACTGGCCTGATGCCACTGTGCTGTACACTGTCCTTAAGCCACTCTGCTGTACACTGTCCTGATGCCACTGTGCTGAACACTGTCCTTAAGCCACTGTGCTGTACACTGTCCTGATGCCACTGTGCTTTACACTGTCCTTAAGCCACTGTGCTGTACACTGTCCTGAAGCCACTGTGCTGTACACTGTCTTGAAGCCACTGTGCTCTACTGTATGTCCTGATGCCACCATGCCCCACAGTCTTGATGCCACTGTACCCAACACTTTCCTGAAGCCACTGTGCCCCACATTGTCCTGATGGCACTATGCCCACACTGTTTTGATGCCAACATGCCCAACACAGTCAAAATGCCACTATGCCCCACAGTCAAAATGCCACCATTCCCAATACAGTCCCAGTGTCACTATGCCCCACATATTTCAAATGCCACTTTGACCTTTCACAGTTCCACTGCCACTCTAGTGTGATGTATAGTGATGTCAGAATCAGCTAATTCCTGCCCGGCTGTATTTATACGCATTCTATGAGTAGTTCCATGGCTTCTATAGTAACCTGATCTAAAGTTGATGTCTTCCTGTTGTTTATTTCAGCGTTTCTATGGAAAGTCCTTCCCTTTCGACCCTGCAGTGGCCTTCACCCAGCCCTACATTGGCCTTCTGACCATAGAACAGGCCCTAGCAGACTTCGCCATGCTCGTCACTCATCTTAAGGTGCAGCTCAACAGCACTGATTGTCCGGTCATTGCCTTTGGTGGCAGGTGAGTCTTAGCTTAGGACAGTGGGGTACCATTAAAAATGTTTCTAACATTCTTAACACTTTTATCATTGGAAATGATATAGGATTGTATAAGGATCATTAAACTAACAAATTATGTACAAAATGAAATACACTGTACATGTATCCTAGGTCACCTCTCACCTGTCACATTGATGCTATTGTAGTTACAGTACATCACTTCACTCTGTTGTAGTTACGGTGGAATGCTGAGTGCCTACATGCGGTTTAAATATCCTAATGTCATTGCGGGTAGTATAGCAGCCAGCGCGCCCATCTTTCTCCTCACACCCGACCTCGACCGCACATTCTTCTTTAAGGAGGTCACTAATGTAAGTTTTGTTGGTACGGAATCCTTGTGTCGGTGACATCATAAACAGGTCAAGTTTGCAGAATTTCAGGCGAAAGTGTGTACATTTACAGTAAGACATGTTTAGTACGAACATGCTTATTGTGATTTCATGGTTGTTGTAAACTGATTCTGATTCCCCAGCTCATCTCCCTCTTTCTTCTATGTAAGATTAAAATTCGGTATACATGTAACACGAAGTACCTTATACATGTAACACAAAGTACCTTTATACATGTAACACGAAGTACCTTCATACATGTTATAGAGTACCTTTATACATGTAACACAAAGTACCTTTATACATGTAACACAAAGTACCTTTATACATGTAACACCAAGTACCTTTATACATGTAACACGAAGTACCTTTATACGTGTAACACGAAGTACCTTTATACATGTAACACAAAGTACCTTTATACATGTAACACAAACTACCTTTATACCTGTAACACAAAGTACCTTTATACATGTAACACAAAGTACCTTTATACATGTTATAGAGTACCTTTATACATGTAACACGAGTACCTTTATACATGTAACACAAACTACCTTTATACATGTAACAGGAGTACCTTTATACATGTAACACGAAGTACCACGAAGTACCTTTATACATGTAACACAAACTACCTTTATACATGTAACAGGAGTACCTTTATACATGTAACACGAAGTACCTTTATACATGTAACACGAAGTACCTTTATAACAAACTGATAAAGTAGGTCCCTTGGGATTCCTTATAACCATGTTTTTACAGGTGAAAGTGTGTGAATATAGGTGAAAGTTTGTAAATATACAGGTGAAAGTGTGTGAAAATAGGTGAAAGTTTGTAAATATACAGGTGAAAGTGTGTGAATATAGGTGAAAGTTTGTAAATATACCGGTGAAAGTGTGTGAATATATCCATGTAGGTGAAATTATGTAGATATACAGGTGAAAGGGTGTAAATAAAGTTTGTAGATATACAGGTGAATGTTTGTAGATATACAGGTGAAAGTGTGTGAATATAGGTGAAAGTTTGTTAATATACAGGTGAAAGTGTGTGAATATAGGTGAAAGTTTGTAGATATACAGGTGAAAGTTTGTAGATAATCAGGTGAAAGTGTGTGAATATAGGTGAAAGTTTGTAGATATACAGGTGAAAGTGTGTAAATAAAGTTTGTAAATATACAGGTGAAAGTTTGTAGATAATCAGGTGAAAGCGTGTGAATATAGGTGAAAAATTGTATATATACAGGTGAAAGTGTGTGAATATATTCATGTAGGTGAAATTAAGTAGATATACAGGTGAAAATACGTAGATTATCAGGTGAAAGTTTGTAGATATACAGGTGAAAGTGTGTGAATATAGGTGAAAGTTTGTAAATATACAGGTGAAAGTGTGTGAATATATACATGTAGGTGAAATTAAGTTGATATAGAGGTGAAAATACGTAGATTATCAGGTGAAAGTTTGAAGATATACAGGTGAAAGTTTGTAGATATACAGGTGAAAGTGTGTGAATATAGGGGCAATTTTATTAATAAACAGGTGAAAGTGTGTGAATATAGGTGAAAGTTTGAAGATATTCAGGTGAAAGTGTGTGAATATATTCATGTGGGTGAAATCATGTAGATATACAGGTGAAAGTGTGAATATGTACATGTAGGTGAAATTATGTAGATATACAGGTGAAAGTGTGTGAATATATACATGTAGGTGAAATTATGTTGATATACAGATGAAAGTGTGTAGATATACAGGTGAAAGTTTGTACATATGCAGGTGAAAGTTTGTAGATATACAGGTGAAAATGTGTAAATTATACAGGTGATGTTTTTAGCTCACCTGGCACGAAGTGCCAAGTGAGCTTATGCCGTGGCGCGGCGTCCGTCGTCCGTCCGTCGTCCGGCGTCAATATTTTACTTTAAACGACTTCTTCTTAATAACCGAAAGGCCTAGGGTGTCAATATTTGGCCAGAAGCAAACTTGGATGAAGGGCTACAAAGTTTGTTCAAATAAATGACCTTCACCTATTTTCAAGGTCACAGGGGTCAAATATGTCAAAAACTTTAAACATCTTCTTCTCAATAACCAAAATGCCCAGGGAGATGATATTTGGCCAGTAGCATGCTTGGGTGAAGGGCTACCAAGTTTGTTCAAATGAATGACCTTCAATTATATTCAAGGTCACAGGGGTCAATTGTATTAAAAAAC